TGCCTCACAAAAAAAAAAAAAAACCCCCCCCCCCCCCCCCATCTCCCAAAACCCCCCAATTAAGGTGCTTCCACAGATTAGACCATGTAGAGATTTTAAGGATCCAGCTTCAACTTCCCGCATCAAATACCTAAGACACTTTTTGGATCTGGATTTAGCCACTGGTAAAAAGTATAATCAAATGAAACTTTTCCTATCAAGTCAGGCAATTCCTTTATTTACAGTGCTAGTTTCCTCAATCTCATTTCCCCCTCAAATCCTCTAAGTGCTGCTCTTGTCACGGTCTGCCCCTGGTGCAGTGATTCAGATTATGTTCAGTATAAATTCATGACTTTTGGTTTCTGTAGGGTGTAAATTAATCCTCTGGTGTCTGTTTTAGCACTGAACATCCAGGCTCTCTTGGGCATTCATTTAACTATCAGCATAGAAAGTGCCAGTAGCTATAAGGAAGAGATATGTCTTAAATTGAAAACAAAGTTTCGTATGAAAGGATTGTCCTTGTCTTTTTCTGCTGTTTGTTTGTGTAGATAAGCTTGTAAGATTTTTAGGTCAGTTTAGAAATTCCAGTTTTTACTTTAAACCAAAGCAAACATTAAAATGCTTTTTGCAATTTACCAAAAAATAAAAAAGAATAATTTGAAACAAAAGCAGGTTTTATTTTGTGGGGATTTACAATGGCATCTATGACCCATAAGGATCAGAAGTAACCATCTCTTTAATCTTTTTTTGTGTTTTCTATGGGCCATTTTTTTTGTTGTGTATACAGAAATATGTTGTGAAAAGGTAAGTTTGATACTAAATAAAACTGCAGTTTTATTAACTATCTAATCAAGTTTGAAATAGTGGAGGAAAAAAGAAAAAGAGAACAAAATCTTATGAAAACACTGAAATGGCAGGGGTGGGGGGATATAATCTGAATTGATGAACCAGATTTTAAACTTGCAAACCTAAACTTTATAAACTTCATAAACTTTTGCCTAGTCATCTTCCATATAAGGTTTAGCACATTTGTATTCTTTGGCGAAACAAATCTGTTCTGCAGGGCGTGCATTGCAGTTGGCTGGAGAGCAGTACTGTATTCACTGGACTGAATTGTTTTGGATGTTACTTGGAAAGCTGTTGCACATCATTTAAATCCATCACACATGCCATCCTGGCAGCAGAGCCTTATATGTAGAGTATGTGGGCTGCCCTATTATGGGAAACCAACTTTGTTTTGAGGGAAGCACAGTGTATTGCTTCTGCGCAGTTCCTGGAATTTGAAACATCTAGGGGCCTCCACAGAACCCTGGCATTAGTTACTATGTCGGCTCATTGGAAGTCAGGATCACTCATTTTGCCCCTACGGGATCCAGATCTTAGAAGCATTTAACTGTACACTGAAACTAAAGAGAATACTGAGGAGGGCTTTTCCTTTTACTTTTTTTTAAAGTTGTTGTGGGTCATAATTATCATTATCCAGGGGCAGGCATTATTCTACAAAAAGTAGTGGAGCAGTAAAGTTGGAACATAAATTGCCAAGAAATTTTGTTGGGTTCTTTTCTCTCTTGGTGAAGAGATTTCATTTCTGCTCACATGCTTTGGTATGAGGAAGTGGAAGATTATTGTAAGTATGAACAGACTGAAATACTTTATTACTCTACTCAGTTTGATGTAGTCTTATAGTGCTGTAAGCCCAGTAACAGCATGTATTTTTAAATGTTTACTTCCCATATATGAGGAAGCAAAGCAATAGAAGCTAAGACATAGTATCCTTTATGTTGATTATTGTAAATCCTTTGCATGTAAGGAAGCATTCCATAAATACTCCAAAGTGCTCACATTTGAATGAAGAAAACACATTTCTTCCCTAAGGTTCACTACTTACATAGGATTTCTTTTTTAGAGAACACAGACCAGTATTAAAAAAGAAAAATAAAAGTGTGCGGGGTTCATTATTGTTTTAATAATCTGGCAACACTTCAAAGAACTAATTGGTTGCTTTGAACTGCAGCAGCATAAGTTTTTTCACTGCCTGGTATTAACATATATGGTGTGGGATCTCCTCGCATTATTATTAAAGTAGTTGGTAACAACTGACTGAGGGGATGGAGGTGCCAACTTTGCTTAAAATAAGCAGCAGCTGAGCTCCCCTATGCTTTTTCCAGAGGGCAAAAGAGTCCCAGGACATTTTCTGGTTTATTTTTTAAAAGCTCTCTCTCCATGTCAAACAAGAAAGTGTAATAAAAAGTAGAAATGAAAGATGGAATATAACAGTGCAAAAAAAAAAAGGGGGGGGGCGGAGGGAATTCCATGATTAAAAATCCGACTATACCTATTGTACAGTTTCTACTTCTCTGTTGTATATCCTATCACCCTCTCAACTCAGGCCTGTAGCATTACAAGAGCTCTTCTGCTTTACTCCTGCCTATTTGGATTCTGATGCCAGAGGAATACATACTGTCATTTTTTTTTTGGACTGTGCAGATGCTGAAGTCTGAAGGTTCTTACATCTGGTATTAGGTTTTGATCATATTTGACAGGCATGGTAGCTTAAAAGTGAATTTTGTTTTTTGACATTTATGACAAGTGTTGTTTTATTTTAGGCTAATTCTAGTTCTGCCTCTTGAGCAACAAATAACTTTCTTAGCTACATTTTTTGAGACACTTAGACTCAGTTCAGACATTCAAAAAGCCTGAGGCAGAATCAGTCTAAATTAGGTGGGGTTTTTTATAGGCAGCTTAATTTGTGTTAGCAAACAGAGCACTCCTTCACCTCTTGGTGGCAGGGTGGGGGCAAATCTTAGACCAGGTTCTACCATTTTAAACCCAGTCTGTGTGCCGAGCTTCTGTTCTGTTACAGATACAGACTGGTTTCTGATCACTTATACCAGTAAAAGTGTAATGTCTGCACTTGGCCTTGAGCAAGGTTGGATTACAACTGCTACTGTAGAGAGAACCCTGCATTGCCATGGCCTGAACTGAACTGTAGGTTTCTGTGGGTACTGATTTGTTGTTTTCTTCCATTAATCTCTCTCTGTAGAGCATTCAAGTGCTCTCTGACAATTCTATAAGAAATAAAATAATGGCCTTCACCACCACCTCTGTATCAAAAAACAATGAGGTCCATTGCCCTTTAATGGAACAATGTATAAAATGGCTCTGGAAGAATGGGGGGGGAGGGGGGGTGTTTGCATTCAGTGTACTGATTTGTTGTTTTCTTCCATTAATCTCTCTCTGTAGAGCATTCAAGTGCTCTCTGACAATTCTATAAGAAATAAAATAATGGCCTTCACCACCACCTCTGTATCAAAAAACAATGAGGTCCATTGCCCTTTAATGGAACAATGTATAAAATGGCTCTGGAAGAATGGGGGGGGAGGGGGGGGGTTTGCATTCAGAGTCACACTTTCAAAGGGAAGTACTCCAAGAGACAGGCTGTGTGAAAAAAGTAGTGAAACTCTGCGCAGTATCAACCTTTTCTGCCTGTGCTCTGTTGGAAGGAGCACAGGGACAGGTATCCTCACTATTCCACTCATTTTTCGCCTACCCTACTCAGTTTCCAGTATCTCAACAATGTAGACTCTTGACCAGTGCAACATTTTCCTGAAGTCTGGGGAGAAAATCGGAGTGATCCACCATGGAACAGAAGTGGGAGATCATTGTGGCTAGTCCCATCTCTGTGGAGTTGGGGGTAGATTGCACCCTGAGCAAGCAAGGAACACAAATATGAAGGTTTTGAAACTTTTAAGAACATATGAATAATAGATTAGCATTTTATCGGGTAGACTAATAACATTAGTGGCAGAAGCCATTACCTCATTTGCCAACTTGTCACATATGTTCTGTAAGGGAAAACTGGTAGTCTCTCATATTATAATGGACATTGCTGTGTGATTACTTCTGGTAATTGCTGATTTTTGTGTAATTGATCGCTTTACGTGATTTTTGAATTTTTAGCAGGTCTTGATATTTTTTAGCGCTTTATATTCTGTTTTGTTTAGGTCCTTCTTTTGTACCATCCAGTGAAAAGGGAAAACAACAGTTGCAAAAAACTCATATCCATAGCATATTATGGTTTCATAATTTGTCCCAAAATAGTCCCCTAACTTTGTTAGCTTCTTTCACTGCTCTAGACATATTGCTTTTGTTTCACTAGCTTCTACACTCTTT